CCCCAAAACCCCAAAACCCCAAAACCCCAGGGATCTGGTTATATAATTATAGAGGAAGTATCTTTACAGTAGAAATAAATATAGCATTAAATCTTTTTAAATTTAAGCAATTCAGATTTATCAATGGAGTAAGAGATTATAAATATAAGCTTAAATTTTAGAAGTATTCCCCACCCTAGTTAATTAAACTTAGAGTCATTACCACATTCATTGATTCAAAGAGAACAGTATTTGAAATCGGCAACTTATCAAAACATTTTCTTTTGGAGTTAGGAGGTGAAGCGCGGGCCGAGCGGAAGAAATACTCATCAAGCGGTCTACTATAATGATCAAGTCATTATTGTGGGTGGCGCTGACGAGTTTCAAAAGTACAAAAATAATCCAGATCTCTTGATATATGAAACTAGTAATTTAAATTTGTCCTAACTTTATATCCTTTAGAAAAGAGTCATTGGAAGATCATTAAAAATAATGGGAGATTTTCATTGGAAAGATCAGGACATTCATGCTTTATCTACAATGATCAACTTTATGTGTTCGGAGGAATTTCGATACATAATGGATGCTATTTAAATGACATAGGAAAACTAGATTTAAGCATATTAAAGAACTAAACTTAAGATTAAGATATGTCTACCCAGTTTGTGGCATTTAATCCAATTGAACTCACTGATCAAGCTAAAATAGAGTAGCCTTCATTAAGGTCAGCCCATGCCTTTTCTTTGATAGAGAGAAAAAACACCTTGAAGTAGTCTGTACAGTTTTGGATCTTTGGTGGAGCATAAATGCTTAATTTCTTCAATGATATGTACTATTTTGACTTTGACATGATGCATTGGAATAAGGTAAACTACAATGCTTAGAGATCAGTTGCGATACCAACTCCAAGAGCAGCTCATACTATGGTATATTATGAGAGCAATAGATCTTTTTACGCTTTTGGCGGTGGTAATAGCCATCAAATGTTCAACGATCTTTTCATATATGATATTGATAGCAAGTGCTGGCTAATGCCCTCGATTGGCGGAGAATTTCCATCACCTAGAGCAGGTCATTCAGCTACTAAGATTGATGAAAAGTACTTCTGCATTTTCGGAGGTGGGGATCTCAGGACTGTTTTCAATGATACCTTTTTATTCGATGTTGAGAATAATAATTGGATTAAAATCAAGCCATTCGGCTAGCAGCCAGACAGGAGATGTGGCCATACAGCAACTAGAGTCAATGATTCAAAGATTTTGATATTTGGAGGTGGTGATGTAGACGGGGAACTATTCGCTGATCTCTACAGTTTAGACATAAGCCAGATGGTTTCTGTTTAGAAAAACTTCAACAGAAAGGTAAATGAAGAGTTTAAATAGTCAGATCAAACTGATAAATCATCTAGGTCCTCAAGGAGAAGAGCTAGGAAGAAGCAGATTCAGAATAATCAAAGCAAGCAGATGACTTAGAAACATTCAGAGATATAGAAAATTAAACTATAACTTCATGAATAGCAAGAGTATTTCTCTAAGTAATTCAAGTTATTTTCAAATCTGCTCTAAGACATGTAAAATAAGAACGACTACTACTTTAACAAGTATAATTAACAACTAAATGAACTTGAATAGTAGATATCTGAAAATAATAACAACAATATTAATAATAGCATTCACAGCGGGCTAGACAGAAGTTTTTCAGACTTCTCAGACAGTGAGCCTTCTCTGATAAAATCTTCCTCTACCAGTTCTATAGACCAATAGCAGCTATAATTATGAAAAGGGTTTTATTAATCGTATTAATTTCATCAGAAACATCTCACAACAATAATCTGCTTGGGGTTTTGGGGTTTTGGGGTTTTGGGGTTTTGGGG